GTGACCGAAATCTAATTTCTCCTTACAAGATGAATGTACTGTTGCGCAGACGGCGATAAGAATATAAAGATAAAAGTCAAGGATTTTCTCACCGAATTGTTTAGACTCATGACCCAGTAATGAGAATTTAAACTTTGATCTTGAGGCTGAAAATTGCATTACCTACTGGTGGTTAATTACTTATAACACTTACGCCCATGATTAAAACACAGCTACAAATTTCACAAATGCAACGATTTTTCGTTTCCTATAAAAATTTTGTGATTCTTCATTTTACAACACAAGATTTCCAAAAGTTCTCCAACTCAACGGTTTTTTTGGCACGCTGTTGCAAAATTTACAATTTTCTGCATCTCTTTGCAATGCGTTTACAAACTTTACAGAATTTGCAAATTATGGTAATTAACGCAGTTTTCGTAAATACTGTATGTAAAAATACCGAATGATTTCGTCTATTTCGTTGGAGCTTTCTTTTAACCACTCGAATTAATACACCGAGTTTTAGCGCAACTCTTGCAAATTATCGCAATTTTTTGTAAATTTTGCAATTTTTTTGGATGTCGAACTCTTTTCTCTTGCGACTATTTTCTGTCCTACGAATTCAGTGATGTTTTGCTCGCAGTAGCTATTTTAATTAATGTTGCAGTTCTTGCAAACAGGCTCCTAAAAATCGTAAGACTTGCCATTTTCGCAACTGCACCCTATCATGGACATAAATCAGACGTAGTTCCCAAATCGACTGGGAGCACACACATCCTATAGACTGACACCATTGTCTGTTGGCATTATCTCTTAAAATACTCTCAAATAATCTCTACTAAAGAATGACTAAATATGGTTACAAAATCGTAAAAATAATTACGTAATAATAGAGCGAGCTAATGGCTACAGAGCTCTTTTTATATACAGTTTTGAACAGTTCAACTGAAAGTTATTTGCAAACGGTACGAACATGCAAGTAATTGCTTTAAAGGACTTCGACAAGTTTATAGCCAATCTTAAAAACATTAGACTAAACTTGTCAAGTTATTTGTTTTTCGTGTCCCATCTCAATCTCTCTCTTAGGCCCGATTCATAAGTCGCATTTTTTTTCAATGTACTAGACACGCCCTCTCCCTCGCGGAGGTTCTTTAGTATTCGCTAATAAGCGCGCTTTCAGGATGTCGGAAGTTGTGTAGACGGATTTAAGAAGCAACTGGCTACAGCACATTTCACCATATCTTCAGTCTGCGGAAACAGCGCCATTTTAGGGAGAAATAAACTTTTCGGTCACATTCCGCCTAATTCATATCAAGTTTGATATATACCAAAAATTAATGGCACTCTTTCCACAGAATCTTTCAATTAGGGTCTGAGAACAGTTATCCCTGGAAGGAGGGTTACCCTCTCCCCGAGCTATCCTTTACAGAGCGTTTGTATGATAGAGGTCGTCCCCCGGACCTAGCGAAAAATTTGGCCTACCGGTTTCGCGCATGCTCTAGATGTCCCGACAATTCGCTTCTGTATACAAACAAATGTATATGAATAGTTTAAGCTCGCTCACAGTAGCTCAGTATTGGGGGTGACCCTGCGACAAGAGACAAATTTTCTCCATGTAAGCTGACCATAAGACTTTTCGCCCGAAAGAACCAACGCTTGATAGACGCATGGTTCTGCTCATTCAAATTTGGCGCCAAATAAGGCAGCACCTTGCGCTCGTTCATAACTGGACAAACCAGTTTACGTCGAACCTCTTTGTCAGCTTCAGCGAACACAAAAATACGGGCCGGGCCGTTTTATCATAAATTCTTTACATTAAAAAGAAACT